GCAGGGGACACGGGTTCGTGCCCCGGTCCGGGAAGATCCCACGTGCCGCGGAGCGGCTGGGCCCGTGAGCCATGGCCGCTGAGCCTGCGCGCCCGGAGCCTGTGCTCCGCAACGGGAGAGGCCACAACAGTGAGAGGCCCGCGTACCGCAAAAAAAAAAAGAAAAAAAAAAAAAGAAGTTTGCCAGGGTCACTCCAGGCAAAGGGATAGTATGTGAAAAGGTAGAGAGGCATGCCACAAAGCACATGAGATTTTGGAAACCAAGAAGTGGGCTGGAGCTTGGATTCATCCTGGGGGCGTGGCTGGAGATGTAATACCTCCTTGATGAGCAAGGCCCTCGGGCTATTAGAGGGAATCCTAAGCGGGAAGAATCCAGCTTTGTTCCCTGAGGCCCACCTTGCCCCCGGCCCTTTCTTGAATTACTGCTTCTCCGTCCCCCTGCGTGAGTGCTGGTCTAGCTCCGAGCTGAAGAAAGGTGGGCGTTGTCAGTGGAGAGGAGTGAGGGAGGTGTTCCGGATAGAGGAGACCAGAATGGGGGAAACTGGGAAGCTTGGCAGAGGGCAGGGTTTCAGGCGTGGAGTGGCAAGAACGGGCTGGGCCAGGGTAGTCGGGACCAAAGCAAGAGGAGCTCTTGAAGCCTGGTGGAGGATTTGGTATTTGAAGGGAGTGGGGGGGCCATCGAGGGGTTTGAGGAGGGCCGTGAAGAGGGATTTTGTGTTTGGGAACAGTTGCTGGGTCTGGCGGTGGGAGAATTGTTTGGAGGAAGCAGGGCCACCAGAGAGGTGGAGGTGACCTGGACCAGGTGGTGCCAGCGAGGACCTCAGCTTCCGCAAGCACGGCGAAACTTCTTAAAGTCTAGACCCGAAAGACCTTTCCAGCTCGCTCTTGTCTCAGCCCACCGTTTTCTGCCTGGGGACTGATGCTGGGAACTTGTTAGTTCTTTTAGGGGAGGTTTTGGTCTTTTGCCCATAGGTCACCTAGGGCTTCATCAGGGTGACTGTGTGTCAGAGTGAGCCCAGCATCCACCCCGGAGGTGCACATGTGGCACAGTGGGCAGGGAGAGGAGAGGCTGGGGCTCAGAAGTGGAACCAGATCATGGAGTGTTTGGGAGCTGGGCTTGGGGGTCCTGAAGGAACTGGAAAGCCCTTGCAGGAGAGACGAGTTCACATGTGTTGTGTCAGAAACGTCACTTTGGAGACAGTGTGGGACCAGAGGGGCTGAAACCGGAAGCAGGGTGGCTGTCAGTCCAGACAAGTTGTGAGGACTGCAAGGCATGGCAGAGGGTATGGATTAGAGATCGATTGAGAATAAATCCACAGGACTTTTGTTTGTTGAGGTCTGGACTTGGGTGAGGGGCAGGGAGATTCGCCAGGTATGATGACGCTGTACAGTAGAACTTTCTGTGACGATGAAAACGCCTTGCATCTGTGCTGTCCCGTTCACTCGACACGTGTGGCTGTCAAGCATTTAAAACGTGACTATTGTGACCGAGGAACTGAGTTTTAAATTTTATTTAATTTCAATTGATTAAATCCAGGAAGGATACCCATTGCGTGCACATGGTGTAGTGGGGATCGCACTGTTGTGGGCTCTGCTGTTTTAAGTGTTACCCCTTTTAGTGTTTGCAGCAACCCTGAGATGTAAGATATTATTCCTTTTTTACAGATGAAGGAAACACAGCTCAGAGAGACGGGGTAACTCAACCCCATATTAAGTAGTACAGCTGATACACGGTTGTTTAACTTCTAAGCCTGGACTCTTTCTGCTGGATCCTACTTCCTCCCTCAAAGAGCCTCAAGGTCTCTTTCCCAGGAGAATGAAGTCCTCTCCAGTGGTGGCTTTGTTTGCCAGCTGAGCCCTTCTTATCTGTTCCTTATCTTACATTTGCTTGCTAAAGTTCACAGGACAGCTGTGTGATAAGCTGCCAGCCCGGAGCAAACACGGCTCTTCTGAGCTAGTTGTTTGGCCCGAGGCTTCTTGCTGCCTCTAGTGTCTTCCTAATGCCGGCTGTTTCTCTTAGCATTTCTGGAAAGTGAATGGAGCAAGGAAGCAGGTGAACCTGCGGATCAGCCAAACTGTGTGGCTTGGTATTTATAAAGATATGGTCGTAAAAAGAGGTACACATGAGTACCTTACATGAAGTTTTGGGGTCACAGTGGACCAGCTGGTGCCCGGGATAGTGGCAAGATTATGGGACATAAGCCAGGAGTGAGTTTATAGCGTGTCCCCGGACTCCCTAGGGGACCTTGACCAAGTCACTGCCCCTCGGTCTCAATTTTCACATCTGTTATTTAGGATATTTGACATCGCGGAACCTTTAAGATCCCTCCAGCTCTAAAATTCTATAATTTTAGATTTCACTGGAGGTTTACTTTCTAGAACATCTCTTATTCCTCTTGGGATGGATAAATGCTGGTGCTTCAGCATTTGGCCTCTGCATTGATACATGTTAATAAGCCATTATTGGCTTATTGTTAAGTAACGTGTCTATTTGAGTTGTGCAGCATGTCACATCTGATGGACAAACTGTTAACCAGTGACCACTTCAGATGTTGGCAGTGTTCCTAGTAAAATGTCAGGTATATTTGCTTGCCCTCCTGAGCTGCACTGATGATTGGAGAAAACGTGCAAGACTCCATTTAGCATGGTGGCTGGCCTCTTAAAAGGGTTTAATGTCAGCGTTGGCCAGGTGAGAGGTAATAATAAGAGCCAAGTCACAGGGTTGTTGAGAGCTTTACATGAGAATGCATGTAAGGTGCTTATTGTTTGCCCTTGAATCTAATAGTGGCGTAGAAAGTGTCAGTAATTAATGTTGCTTTTTGAACTAAATTGTGGCCTTTAAATTTTTTATTAGTGGTGGGTTTTGTTGTTTTCTTGGTTTGAGCTTACGTGCCCAAGCAGCTCTGTTTGGAGGCGCTGGTT